TGTTATACCTATTCTATTGTTAATAGACTCTCCCACATATAATAAGTAGTAGCAGTTGCAGTCGCCAGGGAGCTCAGTGAGTTGCTCAGTCAGTCGATGTCGGACATTAAAGTATCAACCACCACAACTAGATTGCTGCGTCATTAACCATTATTTCAAATTCCCAACGTTTTGTACGTCGAACCTTTTTAGGACCAACTTAGGGAAAGCCTCCACTGTGAAACTACTCTATAACACTTAGCAAGAGAACCATCATTAGCTCCGAAGAGGTTTAACCGACTTGGTCACGAAGGGTGACGTCGATTAAGCTTGGTTAAATTTAAACAAAAAGGGCGTCTATTCAAATATGGGTATCCACTAAAAAAACGTTTAAAGTGATAAAAATATGACGGGGGTTAATAAATAAAAATCCATTACTTTTTAGAAATTGCTTTTTGTTACGTTTTGGATAATAAACTGAGCAATTGTGAACATTCTAGAATCTAAAAACCGAGAGGCTAGTGCTTAAAAGGTAGTACTCAGCCTTTCTTAATCGATATTGAGACGGAATCGATAAGATGTTGCATGTTATTCTTGGAGAGAGAAAGGTCACAATTTTAGGCACGCAGGAAGACGTCTATTATTAATGACAATCGTCACTACTGTTACATTTGGTCTGGTGTCAATACCGTGTATCTAGAGATTCTCGATAAGATACAAAGAAGAACATGTACAGGGACCGATGGAAAAATTATCTAAATGACGCAAAAATGAAAATAACACTGACATCTTATTTTAACAGATATACAGGGTCCGATGGATAAATTGTCATCTAAGTGACGCAAAAATGAAAATAACACTGACATCTGATTTTAACAGATATACAAGGCTTGATGGATAAATTGTCGTCTAAATGACGCAAAGATGAAAATAACACTGATATCTAATTTTAGCAAAAATAGCTACACATATATATCTTCAAATACTATAGAGCAAATTCATTCAATAAAGTCACCATTGACTTCAACGACGGCCTCCATACAACTTCGGGATCTCCTGCAACTCTTCTGAACGGTCTCCTTGTTTAAGTTGGTGAATGTTGCCATAACTCTTGCCTTCAGTTCATCTTTGGTGTTACAAGGAGTTTTGCTACCGCACCACAATTAATAATCAAGTGGGTTGCAGTCTGGGGAATTAGGTGGTCAGATGTAAAGGGTGATTTGCACGCAAAAATTGTCTGACAACTATGACTGAATTCTCCTGCTGTGTGGCATGGTGCAGATATAGTGTCATCCAGCAGCCAACCTCTTGATCCAGGTCATTACTACCCTTTCAAGGCACTTGATATAGGTTTCCGTGTTGAGTCTTAGTCTCTCATCAACAAATTCGTGAGTTCTTTTCTTATCAGGACGATCAGAATAAGTTTTTCGAGCTGTTGTACCTTCATAATCACCATTAGACTCATCCAACTCTTTCCGAATAATCTGCACTGTCATCAGATTGACACCCAAAGACTCGTATTTTAGATTCCGGTGCGAATGCCAAGCAATTCAACGTTCCGTTTCCAAATCTCTGGCGGAGTGAATTGCGTCATTGTGTTCGTTTTCGCAACTGATCTAATTATACTGTCCAACAGACCCTACTATACTGTACAAAATCAAAAAACAAACAATTTACCCATCGCACTCAGCAATGTTATCGGTCCTGACCTGGCATCCCAACTATAGTCAATTTCACACCGCAGCGAAGTAGCTTCCTTGGGCCTTGTTCTACAAATATCTTCGCTGTAGTTGTTCTGATGAGCTTTTCTCTTTATTAACATGACTTTCCTAATTTAAGTGTAGTACTAGATTTGCCGCCTGGACAGCGGATAACTCTTAGCCTTACGCACTTCTGGATATCTGATCAAAATCTTAATAAATTTCAGATTCTTATAAATATCCCTTCCTGGTCAGGTCGATAACTTTTGAGCAAATCATAGTATAAAATGTATATGATCGTCCAGTTCCCGCATCTCTCCGCTCGTTTGAACCCTTGTTTCCCGTTGAGAATTGGGTTTCCAGTTCATTCTCATTCTCTTTCAATCCGAAATAGGCCCTTGCGTCTTAGTGTCGTTATTGTAATCCTTGGGTTGAATTGATTAGTATATATATATATATCAATTCAAACCAAGGATGACGATATATATATATATATGGTAATCAATTCAACCCAAGGAAGACGATAACGACCAACTTTACAGCTCCTAATAGCAATTATACCTTACTTACGTTGTCAAGTTTTTTTTTAATTCTCGATATTTAACAGTCCACCCACGAGGAATGTATGTGGCACAAGGCCGTGTTTAACGTGGGTTTCTCCGAGCCCGAAGGCTCAGCCAAAAAATATCGCCTTAGAACCCGCATAAAGCGGGTTCAGGGCCTATCTACCTCCACGGACGAAACCCTGCTCTTCGGCAAAGCTTCGCCCGGGTTCCTCTCTGGCAAAGCAGAGAGTTCGACAGACGTTGAGACTGTATCTCGGCGTATCTCATTTAATTCTCCTATACTTGTGTTTTGATTGGTCATTCTAGCTTTTGTAACAGAGTTTCCCCCTTGCGAAGGGTCGTTAATTAATCTGAAACTTTTAAAACCATTCATTTTACATTCAACATCACTTGATAAGTCACCGGAGGTGTTGAAACAAAATGGCTATTTTTGTAGTGATTTTATAATATATTTATGTTATAATTTTAAATAAATAATTATATATATATATATATATATATATATATATATATATATATATATATATATATGACGGTAAAACCATAAGACCAATGGCTAATCTTGCTTTGTAGGGAAATATTAAGTTGGGCTATAAGAAATTTTCATTTTTGGTAACCAATTTTCCCCACGAATTTATTATCCTAACGACTAAACATACATGACAATTAAAAAATAAATTTGTAGGTACACACATATACCTTACTTTATGCTCAGAAATGGCAGCGTACACAGCAGATTAAAGGAAAATTATTGTTCTGGACCATGACAACACAAGAATACATACTGCAATAATAATGCAGGAAACATTTTTGAACTCAGTTGGCCTGCCCAAACTGAAATAATCCTCTGATCTTGCTCGAACTGATTATTGCAATTGTTGGGTCGCTGCAAAAAGCTTTCATGGTGAAAAATTGAGAAGAGTTCGTTGAAAACCTTTTCAAATCAAACACTGCATTATTTTCACTCAAAAAGTATCAAAGAGAAGCCTGAGTTGTCGCAAGCCATTGCAAATATTGAGGAATATATAAATGAATAAAATATAATTGTATAAATACTTGTTTTGTTTTTTTAGAATAAATTTGATAAACACGGAAATTATATCAGTTATATTTGAAGAAAATTATCAATTATACATAATAAAACAAAATATGGGAGCAAATGATAGATTAATTTGTTATACACCAACACAATTTTAGGAAAATTAATGACAAAGCAGAAAAAAATTTTAAACTTTCAAATTTATTCTTTTTATATGTGCTTTGCTTTATCGTCTAGCCAATGCGCATCACACGAAAAATGTTTTCCACTTTGTCATTAATTTTGTTAAAACAATGTGTGAAAATCAACATGCGTGTAAAGTGTAGCTTTTCGGAATGCAATCAACAGGACGAGACTGTTATACTAAAATTCTAAAATATGCAGTTAGTCATGCGTCATACATGCTTAGGCGATCATGTATCTTTCGATACATGACTGACGAGGCAGATTTTTTTTTCGCGCAGTAGGTTGCCATTTCTTTCTGCAACAGAAAGGCAACCCGGTCTGTCCTATGAATCGTCCTGTGGGGGATAAGAGGATTCATACCGTTCCCAAGAGTATTAACACGGAAGTGAATGTAATGGATTCGACTGTAATTCGAACTCGGCTCTCCGATTCCTCAATCCGAGCCGCTATCCATGCCGCGTCTAAAATACGAAAATAACCATTTATAATATTCATATAATCTGGGGGAAGAGGATATATTTTCGTAAAAAGGAAAATAAAACCTCGTTTGTTGTGTCGTTCCTCGTGACCAAGCGGTAAAGCACACCGTATCAAACGGTGGTCTCCCTTATAAAGGGAGAGTGGAATGCATTTTTCTTTACTAAGATTTCTCAAATGCTTTGGTCGATAGACATGTAACACACTGTTTAACAAATAAAAATGGGACGACTATTTCAAATATGGAGTGTAAGCTATAATGACTTTTGAAGAAGTAAATACTAAAATTCTCCGACAATATGAAATCAATGGTTTTAATTCCTTGGACTTCGACTGGAAGATAAAGATAAGATAACAAGGTCCAGAATTTATGGCCTGAGTCCATCAGCATCATTCGAAAACTGATACCAATGGCGACCATTTATTATCCGATATCAATGCGACCAAATTACGAATAAGAAACACGGAAGGGTAAATCGGTTAGGATTAGTTAAAGACGAGTCAGATATCTATTAATAATTTAATTATCTACCTGAAATCAGTGCCAGGATTCAGCGGAGTTGCGTGGTGTGGGCAGGATCAGATCGTTTTACGAGGAGACAAAGATTTGCTTTATTTACTTACTAACTTACCAACTGCCACCGGCTTTCTCGTTTTATGGTTGCATATAAATCAAATTGCCAGCGTTTTAGTCCTTAATCGACATTTTCCATGTCATCGGAAACGATGCAATCTAATTAAGAGATTGATTGATTCTCAAGAGCTCTATGAGCGACAGTTACACAAGCAATACGCCAGGCCCATGTACACTGTTACCGATTCCATGGTGATTCTCTTGGATGTAGCCTTTTAATCTGGTTAGTATGGAGAAGGACTAGCGGTAAAAGAAGATGAAGTTACTGTAATGTTTGACATACAGTAAAAGTTAATCTGATAACAAAGTTCAAATGGTTTGAATACTAACATTAATTTTCTTAACTGAATCCAACAAATCGTATTTGCATTGAATATTTACAGAAGTTAAATTCGCAGCTTCTAATAATAGCTAGCTAGCTAAATAGATAGATAAATAGATATGAATAGACTGAGATAGATAGATAGATAGATAGATAGATAGATAGATAGATATGAATAGACTGAGATAGATAGATAGATAGATAGATAGATAGATAGATAGATATAGATAGATAGATAGATAGATAGATAGATATGAATAGACTGAGATAGATAGATAGATAGATAGATAGATAGATAGATATGAATAGACTGAGATAGATAGATATGAATAGACTGAGATAGATAGATAAATAGATAGATAGATAGATATGAATAGACTGAGATAGATAGATAGATAGATAGATAGATAGATAGATAGATAGATAGATAGATAGATAGATATGAATAGAATGAGATAGATATGAATAGAATGAGATAGATAGATATGGATAGAATGAGATAGATAGATTGATAGATATATATGAATAGACTGAGATAGATAGATATGAATAGAATGAGATAGATATGAATAGACTGAGATAGATGATATGAATAGAATGAGGATAGATAGATAGATAGATAGATAGATAGATAGATAGATAGATAGATAGATATGAATAGACTGGAGATAGATAGATATATGAATAGAATGAGATAGATAGATATGAATAGACTGAGATAGATAGATAGATAGATAGATAGATAGATAGATAGATAGATAGATAGATGTGAATAGACTGAGATAGATAGATAGATAGATAGATGGATGGAGATAGATAGATAGTTATATATATATATATATATATATATATATATATAGATAGATAGATAGATAGATAGATAGATAGATAGATATGAAAGAATTACAATAAAATTGGTTCGTTGGCTGATTTTACATGTCTACACTTTCTGTGTTAGTTTAATTTTAAATATTCTTTGGAAAATTGGAATTTTTTTAAAAGTCTACGATTACGTTATGTGCGACTGTTTTTAGGAACGAGGCCACGCAAAAAGTATGCTATTTATTTATTGCTTTTTATTATTGCTATTTATATGTTTTATTTTAATTTTATCACTTATTAAATGAGACTGTATATTGCAGTCCACATTTTATATATTAATAATATCTATAATTATATTAACAGAATAAAAATATAATTAAATAAAAAATAATAAATTAAATTAAATAAGTCATAAATAATTTTTAAAAAATGAATGTATAGCAATCATGTTGTGCAGCCTCGTTCCCAATAAACGTTTAACATGACGTCGTCGTAGGGCTATGGTTATTGTCTTCTCCGGAGACTATTACAAACTTTCAGCCATGATGCTGACGAATGAATTCTAACTACCACACAGATACCACATTGGCTCTTGTAAATGACTGCAATCGTCGAAAGCACTTGTACAAAACCTTTGTCAATATCTTTCACGATATTTGCAAGCGGTGAGTGAACGAAATGGAACAAATCCCCAATGACTTTATTGAGCGAACCAGGAATGTGTATGTTATCAGCCCAAATCAGTAAATAAACATGGAGGAGAACGTGTCTACAAACGTCATCGAACCAATCTTCAGAAACACCAACATACAGATTGGCTATCCTGCGCTCGGTTCGAAATTCAAACAAATACCACCTGAAGAAGGCCAGGGCGAACAATGACCGAAAGTTTGTGAATGTGACAACAACGTTGAAGAAAACCATCCGAATAGTGTAAATAGTGTAAATAGTTACAATACGTCATCTCAGAAATATAGACAGATGTTATTTTTTAAGTGTATTAAAAAATGTTTTAAATGTATTTAAAAGAGAACATACGCATCAGAAAGAAATGTATATATCTATATATGAAAACGATGAGACAAGGGAGAAAAGTTTATTAAAGACGCGTTTTCGCCGAAGAAGGGTATTCTCTTTTTGGCTTTCTCAGTTTAAAATGAAAAAAAAAAGATGAATTTTTTTTTTCGGCGAAACGCATCTTTGATAGAATTTTGTACTTTATCTCATCGTCTACATTCCTGTTTCAGATACTACTATACATACTAAAAAACACCGATACATCACTCACACACACACACACACACACACACACACACACACACACACATATATATATATATATATATATATATATATATATATATATATATATATATATATGTGACGTCGTCCCCTGGTCGCAGCGCCAACTGTGACGTTCTATCCCGATCTACAACGGCGCCAGTTGTGACGTGGCCGTTCCAGGGTCCTATCCCGGTCACGACACCAGTTGTGACGCCCCTAAACAGCACCAATTGTGACGTCTTCGCCGCGGCGCCAGCTGTTCGCTCCTCGCTGCTCCGTCCGGGTGTCGCTGCTCCAAACGTGACGTTCTAACCCTTTGGTGATTCGGGTAGGAATCTGGTTAGATTTGATATCAGCCTCGCCGTTCCCAACCTGCTCCCAACGCCTGGTTACCAAGGTAACTGCACTGATCTCCAGTCTGCCTACCCACGTTGTGAATTGATCTTAGACAGACGAGATCAAACAGGGGTTGGGGCCGTAATGCAAATTGAGTTCAACGGGAGTGATAACACACAAATATGCATAAAAGAAAATAAAATGAAAACTCAAAAAGTTCAAAGTATCAAAGAAAAAGGTAACAAAATTTATGTCTAGTTGTTCGATACATAGGACTGCATCTATCTCCCGACCCGTTCTGTGGATTGTGACACGTCGCTTTCGCTAGGCAAGTTTTAACGCTTCAAGTTGTTTGCTCTCTAAGAAATTTGTGTTTCGGTGTTTCTTTGGACGAAAGTCGAAAAACTTATTTCTGTGGTCTGGTTCTAAGTCGCTCTTCAAAATAATTGTTCTTGGTTGAAGAGGAGTCCAAAATTTTGCGTGAATCTTGGTCAGCTATCTTGATGCGGCTTCAACTCTGGAAACTCATCTCAGTCGTCAGGGCTCGAACTGTCTTCTGCCCGCCAGGGTCCGAACGAACTGATCTCTGCCTGTTGGGGCCTCGTTTTTATTGACGCCGTCAAAAACCGGGTTGGCTCTGTTGGCGTCGGGGAGTTCCTCGATAATTCTAAATACATACCCACCTCTTTTATTTCTGGTTAGGGATTTTCCACTCTTTTCCATTTTTGGTAACATTTTTTCTCACTCCCACTTTCTCACCATGCTTCTGAGGGGCGTGAACTGCCCTCCCCACTTCTTCGTAGCGGCTTCTGATACTTATACTCTGGATGGGGGCGTCGACAGTCTTCTTCGTGCGTCACGTGACCACTCTCGGCCAATGAGGTCGTGGTCGGGTATCTTTCCTCCTCCTTCGTGCGTCATGTGATCACCACTTGGCCAATGACGTCTTAGTCGGGCGTGAACAACCAGCAGCTTTGTTTTGGAAAAGAAATACCTTGTTTAACTAAAAAAATTAATGATCTCTTCTTTTTCTCTTTTTCTTTCTTTCAAATCGCCGTTATCATGAACGGATAATGTGACAACTCTTTGTTCAACACGTGGCGTTTGTCAAGCAGTTTATCGGTAATACATCAGACGGCTGGATTTTCTGACATGGTCTAAGAAAGGAATTTTCTCCAACTTCTCAGCCAGTCTGACGTCTCCGAGGCAGCAATAAAAACATTTCTTATTCCATTCATTTTCCTTCGGTTCATGTGTCTGATAACAAAATTTTATTATCGCAGGGCAAAAGTCTGTTTTGTCGAAAAGAGCTTAACTAATGAGACTACTTGTGTGGGATTTTAATTTTCCATACCCAGTTAAGGCTCCAAGCTACACCTGTGTTTTGTCAATTATCAAAATCTAACTTTTTCAAGTGGACTTTCTTTGGTGAACATTTCTTGATAACACAATTCCATTCGCGCGGACAAGTGAGGAAATCGGTCAATGCTTGCTCGCAGGTGGCCTTTTAATTTTGATAGTAAGATGCTTTCTCGTACCAATAGTTTAGATAACAATTCCCTACCCACTCAATCTCATTGTCATTGTAATGACACTCCTTTCGGCATTTGCCACTTATCCAAAATAACCCTTTTCTTTCTTTTTGCCTCTTAAGCCGTGTGTGTGTGTTCGCCTATGATCCGTCTCGCATTACTTCTTCCTCCCTTTCTTCTTTTTCTTTCTTTCAAATCGCCTGGATGCATAGTGCCACATATATAATATATATATATATATATATATATATATATATATACAGAGAGAGAGAGAGAGAGAGAGAGAGAGGGAAGGAAGGAGAGACGGATAGAAATGTAAAAGGAAGTATGAAAACAGCTGCGCCTAAAAGGTATACACAACAAAAAAGTGCTCAATACAAAATTCAAAATCGAGTAGGTAGCGGGAAGCTATTTAAAAGGCTAAAATGACAACCAACCGCGCAATCCGGGTTTTGACCGTAAGGTCTCCTCAGATAAGGGAAGAAATATATATATATATATATATATATATTAATGCACGTTTCATTAAATAAAATACACAAGTTTTGTCTATTTCTTTTAAATAAGTTCCTTTCATATTGTTTGATAAGCTTAATCACATTATCGTTGAAAGACGAAAGGAAAACACCATATTGATACATGTTTAAGACCAATATATATATATATATATATATATATATTTAAAGATATTTTTGTAGGTACAAAATTTAATGATCGAAATAAAAGTATAAAATTTAATATTACAAGACATATTAAAACAATATTAAATAATTAAAAAAAAACACAACAACAAGGGGGGGAAGCAACCGGTTTCGCTCCCGCTCTTCAGGCTTCCACGGGAGATTCAAAATTAAAACAGAGAAATGTACAATAAGAAGAGGTGGAAAATATATATATATATATATATATATATATATATATATATATAGCAAAGAAAGAACTAGAGGCAGATGACAGCGAGTCCCAGCAAACACTCACGTTGTTTGCACAAAGAAGGCTTGCGGGACCTGATGTAAAGCGCCTCCAGAACCTTCAGATTAAATACAGAGTGTGACCGGGCCAACACGGTGAACCAGTCAACACTAAATTTGGCAGCACAATCTCTACTATTTAAAAGATGTTCGCATATGGCGAAACTGTAGGTGTTCGAGACGAGTCCATTCAAAGGCAAGGTGTGGTTTCTAATTGTAGTAGGAACGTGCTGCTTTATTCTAATGTCTAAGCGCTGAGTTGTTCTCTCTATGTAGTTGGATCCGCAACTACAAACGTATTTGTAAACAATTGAATTTAATATTGTTTTAATATGTCTTGTAATATTAAATTTTATACTTTTATTTCGATCATATATATATATATATATATATATTGTTTTTTATTTATTTATTTTGGTGGGGGTGTTTACGGGGAAATTAATATGTCCCGGTTTAAATACGGAAAGTCTTTTTAAACTAAATGTGACACGCGACAGGATTCAAAACTGTACACCCTCTAGGCCGTTAGATATTACTTTCACGGTTAATGAAATGAAAAAAAGAAAGCTTAGAGTATTCGACACTTACAGTATATATTTCTGGCAAGGCGGTGGCAGTGGGAAATGTTAATTAAACTACTTAATATACTTGTGTACATGAATGACAGAACAGGGAGTGGGAGAGATAATAAGGGGGTAAAAAGTGCATCGAGCTGCAAAGGCTAGGAAGCTGTGGAGAGCTATGATCACCCATATCCTAAAGAGACGCGGTAAATGAAATAAGAATTCGTTGTTTGTGGTCTACCTTGATGGTCAGGATTATAGGTGGTAAGTGAAAAATGATAGAAAAGGTGTGGCGCAAGTGAACCAATCGGGAAGGAGAAAATTTGGAACAGTAAACTATTGACATTTAGTGGTGTTATCAACCTAAAGGGTGAAATTATCGGAAATAAAAGTGGCCGAGGAGCCCTTTGTGTGCGGGAAAAGGTCATCGATCAAAAAAAAAAGGAGAAATGTAGTACAAGACTGACGAACTGAGGTGAATACAAGTTAATTGAGATGTTGTGATGTTGGCTGGAAGGAAAGGCTCAGGTTGGCGCCACCCGACCAGACAGTTTTAAGAACACCCGCGTTATTTGCAACGTCCGAAGAGTTTTACAAATGGTGCTTTTAATCTATTCTCATTGATAATTGATTCTTTTGATCTGTGGATCTTTATTTAGAGTGAACATTTCGAAGACATTATTTTGGAATGGTGTGGAGAAAATAAAAAATAAATTAATGGACATCAAAAGTAAGTTGAACTGAACAAGCTCTGTCTGTATAATAGCAATGTTTATGATGTTCTATGCCGTTGTGCAAAAATTACGCTCAACTTATTGTTAGATTGCAATGGCAATATTAACCGTTTCTTTATAAGAAAACGTTCGATATTCATTGATCGAGCAGCCAGTACTTCTCCACGTTGAAATTTATAAAGTCTTACTCATGATTTTTCAGAAAAATAGGTTTATCAAATCCAATAGCTGTTATGGCTCTTTCCAGTATTGATTGCTGTTTCCTTCCTAACTTTTTGTATGAAGTAGTGTGGAATGTCAACATCTTGATTGTATCATTATTTTCTCATCCGCTTACATCTGACATCCATCTCATTTTCTGCAGTTGTCTTCAAGATAATTTGGTTATTTCGTACAGTTCTTTTATGTGATTGTGTAACGTCAGTCAACGAGGTTCGCAGAAGGTCTATACTCGATAACATCTACAGGGTTCATTCGCTCAAGACTATTTTCGACCACTGATCTGAGAAAATTGTTGTACACAGGAGACCGTTTAGATATTTCTGAATGTGTTTGCCGCCATGTATGTCATCCATATGGAAGCCTCAATCTGGCAAAGTTATTTAAGTACATAACTTGCATTTTTAGATTAATGTTTTAGTTCTGTAGCATCTTGCTGTATTGTATGAAGCTATCCCACGTGCAGCTTATTATGAAGCTAACTCAAGTGCAACTTATTATGAAGCTAACCCAAGTGTAGCTTATTATGAAGCTAACCCACGTGCAACTTATTATGAAGCTAACTCAAGTGCAACTTATTATGAAGCTAACCCAAGTGTAGCTTATTATGAAGCTAACCCACGTGCAGCTTATTATGAAGTTAACTCAAGTGGAGCTTTATTATGAAGCTAACCCAAGTGCAGCTTATTATGAAGCTAACTCAAGTGCAACTTATTATGAAGCTAACCCAAGTGCAGCTTATTATGAAGCTAACTCAAGTGCAACTTATTATAGAGCTAACCCAAGTGCAGCTTATTATGAAGCTAACTCAAGTGCAACTTATTATGAAGCTAACCCAAATGCAGCTTATTATGAAGCTAACCCAAGTGCAGCTTATTATGAAGCTAACTCAAGTGTAGCTTATTATGAAGCTAACCCAAGTGCAGCTTATTATGAAGCTAACTCAAGTGCAGCTTTATTATGAAGCTAACCCAAGTGCAGCTTATTATGAAGCTAACCCAAGTGCAGCTTATTATGAAGCTAGCCCAAGTGCAGCTTATTCTATGTTCAATTCGCATATCTCCTATACTAAATTGACACCAGTGTATTTGAAGTGTTTAGAATTTACAATGCCATTATTTTCTCTTTGACTTATGTTATATCTATTTTTAATTTTTTCCGCTTTTTAAATTCAAGTAAAGTTCTTTCTGATGTTTTTACAGTAAGGTTCACTCTGTACAAGGTCCAAAGGCCACTCACAGTATAGGTTTAAGTTAAAAGGCAGTTTATGTGGATAGGAGGGGAAGATAACGGTTAACTCTAACCTTCAACAGGTTAAGATTGTAGTGATTGGGGAAACATCCTCATGGGAGTCTGTTCCACAGAGCAGTGGTTCGTGGGAAGAATCTGTTTGAGTGGAACTTAATCTCGCTGATGGAATATGGAGGTAATTTGTGTGGTTTGCTACGATGAAAGTGTCATTGCCGTGAAGACTAGACCTGCTGGAACTAAGGAATGTAGTTCGTTCGTGCACTTTCCATGGAAATTGCGACAGAGCAGCGAGAAACTCGGCACGTCCCGCCTAGGATAGAGAGATTAGAAGGGTGGAAAATAATTCTTCTCTACTATGAACATAGAGACGCTTTTTGAACTTTATCAAGCCTGGAGAGTGAGGTCTGGCTAGCTCCCGCTCAAATATGACAAGAGAACCCCATTTCGGCTTGATCTGGTTCTCTTTAAGATCTTAGCATTAGAAAGTCAGGTACTTACTGGAGCGGTACAGGAAGACGATCATTAGCGATGGATCGTATATAGGAATTCCACTTGAGGCCGGGTGTGAGTTTCAGGCCCAATATTCTCTCAAGGCACGGTGCCTCCTCAAGGAGACATCCATTCATTGAGAATCTCGGTATTTCGGGGTCTTATCGGCGGTCATGGAATGTAACTAGTTTGGTTTTAGAGGCATTAAATGTAACCAGTCAGTTTTTCCCCACTGTCAAGTTCGTGTTAAATCAGAAGGGAGGTCAGCTGCCAATCTCTTATCGTCAGAAGTTTTAGAGGTGAGCCAGTATATCGTCGTATCATCGACAAAGATGTTCTCAAATGATCTGAGTATATTCTTCGGCAGATCATTTATTTAAATCAGAAAGAGGGTTGGGCTGAGATCTGACCCCCTACGGGGCATGTGTTGACCGCCAGAGCCGTTGGTACATTTCTTTGATTATGATTCTGTAATTCAAGGCACAAGGCTCGAAGAAAGAATGGGTGATTTTTTAAAAAATCTTTCTTTTAAAACATTTTTTCAGTAAAATAACTTTCTCCAGCCCAGTAGCTGTAAATGCTCTTTCCAGTATTGATGGAGTTTTCCATCCTAGCCTTTTATTTGAAGCCGTGTGGAAGTTCGACTTCTTGAAAGTCCTAATGCGAATGCTGAATATGTAGATTAAAAATTAAATTGTCAACGATATAAAAAATGTGTTGCTGGACAAGCCGAATTTAATAATTCTTTTCTTTTTAGATAAATTAATAGTGAAATATCTAAATAATGTTCTTGTTTTTAAGTGCTCTCATATGCTAACACCTTCAACTGTATACTATGGATGAATGAGCGATGCACTGAGCCAACCTCGGCTCTTTTGATAATCAAAATTATGATTCTAGCATATTGTCTAGTTAACTACTGTCCACAAAAAGATGAGACATCCTTATAGTATTTAATCAGCTTAGCCTATATTTTATATTTACCTCGATGGCAGCGGCACCTTATATATATATAAGTTAATCAGAAAAATTACCATAAACGTATTTATAGAAAAGACACACGGAAGCTACGTTACGACGATGGAAAAGTGACTGAAGCCGAGATGATAGGTCACG